TGATCCTTTTTAAAGCATTATACAAAAGAAAAAAAAATAAAGGAAAAAAAAAAAAAAACAGAAGCAAAAAGAAACTAAACAGGAATAGTTCAACACAGTTAAGAAGCTTTTGTAATATCTTGGCATCCACCTTCCACTTTTCAATTTTTATTCAGCTGATGAGAAATACAGATTTGGCTGCCTCTGCTTTCACGCTGTTCGGATAGTATCCAATAACAGGAATTATAATGGGAATCTCTGCTTTTCTCCTTTCATGGAACAAGACCCATTTAGCAGATGCTGGTGAATAATACCAGTCTTAATAAAGATCAAGTGTTTGTAGTTTCCACAAGTGATGTACTAAGGAATACTTTAATGTATTTTTGTGTTTTTTAACACCAGAAAGAAACAGACAATATAGATATCCTCCCAGGAAATATCATGTGTTCCAGTAATTCATCATTAAGTGACTGTTAGGCTTGCTATAGGTGCACGTCAAATACTATTAACCTTACTTACATTTTCCTTTTTACATTTCTCTTCAGTTTTCATCATATAGCATCTTAGTGGAAAGACATTTTTGGCTTATGTGCTGAATTTGAGAGGTGTTGAAAGCTTATATTACACACCAAAAATTGTTTTCTTTTGCAGTGCATTCTTTAGAAACAAAATCTGTAGGACAGTAAAAAGCTAACATTTACCAGGGAAATTCTCATCCAGACTTAAAGAGCTTGACTTAGCTGCCAACAAAGTCTGAAGACTGTCCAAGGAGACATGGCTTTGGTTGATGTCTAGTGATATATATGTACCGTGTTATATTATTGTCAGCCTTATAGTGAATTTAGTTTACGCTGCATTTTGTGCAATAATAACCCAATAATTATTAAATTTTGGCATTTGCTTTTTTGTATGCTTCATTCATTTAAACAAAGCCATTTACATTTAGACCACACATTTGTTTTAAAGATATCACATTGTCTCCTTAATGGAAAAGCTGGAACATAAAAAATCTGGAACATGCTGTTTGTGCTGAAGGCTCTACAGTGTGGTTTAAAGAAGAGGCATTTTATGTAGAAAAGACATTCTAATTTTTTCTTACTAAATCAAATTATCCAAAGTTGTAAATCGTGCCAATGAAATCTTACAGCACAAGTTGGAAGAGCTTGAGACTTTTTTTTAAATTACATTTTCAAGTTTTTCTCAGCCTGTACATGGAAAGGTATTGTCGCAAGCAAATGTTGATGCTATGTAATGGAAATAATGCAATATGTGGCCTTAAAACAAAAATAAACAATTTATTAGAATAAGACAATATATGCATAACCAGTAAATGGGATTAAAGCTTTTTTTTCATATAGCAAACTATTTTGCTTTTTTGCCCTCTTTCCCCCAGAAGCATATACTCACTTTTTCTTCTTCTGTCACTCAGCCAGCAGGAATAAGTAAAGGAATTTCTGTGTAAGCTTTGAGTTGCACTAGCTGGAGCTTACACAGGGCAAGGGACTCTCTTTCCAAACCCATGTGACAGCATTGGGTCAATCACTAAGTACCATTGCTCTCACATGAGGGGAAGGAGAGTGAGTAACATGTTCTTGCATACCTGGAAGTACTACATATTCTCTTATCATCTGGTGGCTAACGATGCACAAAGGAGTGATAGAAAGGTGAGTATGTGCTAATGGAGATGTGGCATTCAGACAACCAATTGCATTTCACTGCATGAGCAAAGCACAGGTTTGCTTGAATAATTCCAAATAATGAAAGCCTATAAGGGAACAATTCTGTCTCTGTTTACATATTATAAAGTTATAAACAATTACAATAACAGTACAACACAATGTAAGTCAAGAGGGAGGCCTGAATGTACAGTAGTGCTTAGGAGGACATCTTTGCTATGTATATGCATTCATTTTCTCCAAATTCTATTCTGCTTTGTTGAATTTTTGTTACAGATGGTATAACAGTCTAAAAGCCAGCGTTGATGAGCTTTGGTTTGCTTCAAGTTGGTTTTGAAAGTCTATGGGAATAGAAAACTCATTTGAAGCAGATCAAAATTAGGTCAACTGCAGGTCAAATGCACCTGACAATAATAGCTGAAAGATCCCTGAAGTGCCTCAAACTGATGTCAAACTGCACACAATCAACACAATCCCAAAGCTTGCCAATTCAGGACTGTAATCTCTTTTACTAAAAGATTCTGGTAATAGAAATAGAATTATAGTATTCTGTGAGATTCCCATGGTTCTGTCACCAGGCCTACATTAATATACAGTTCTTCTTTATTACAATAACCACTGTGGTTAAAAAGTTTCAGGACCAACAGAAATTGGCAACAGAACTAAGGGAATTTGCTCATTAGGATAGGTATCGACCTTATAGCTTTGGTGATTCTTTTGTTTTTGGGGTTTATGTGCAGTTAGGTTTAGGATAAAGAATAATGGGATTAAGTTTAAAGCTAAACTGTTCAAGAAAATATAAAACAATAAAAAAGTATTTTAAATGCAACTAGTTTGACTTTGTATCAGCCTCTTGTAATGCCTTATAAACTCAAACTGAGAAATGGAGAGGTACAGTAGCTAGTTAAGCTGTTCTGCATGAAGATGTGCTGACAAAGAACATGCAGAAAGAATGAGAGAACAGGGTAAGCAGATACATGAGCTCAATTGTCCAAGGAATAGATGGTTGGTGGGTGCAAGATAACCAAAAACAGCTAACAAAAATGTCTTCTGCTCAGAAGCAGGCTAAGCCAAATAACAAGATCAAATGGACAGCTGCCGTTAAGCATCCTAAACTCTTTAGAAAATGGGGTAAATGACAAGCGGTTGAAAATCAACACATGTACCACATCCCTATAAAATTGTACAAAAAGGAGTAGGTTGTGGGATTTTAAAGGTGTGTAATAATAATTAGAATAATCTTTTAAAGGAGTTTTTTTCAATTTATTAATGTCAATAAAATTACATAAATAGTTACAACAACTTGACAATCACAACATGCTTGACTGTTTCCTGTCTTGCACAGATGGTACTTCCCAATATGTTTCACCCAACCTGGGCTTTCTCAGGGGAAGAAAAAGGCTATCCACAATACAGTCTACGATAGTATCAAAAATACAACATTAGTCAATCATAGTTATACAATATACATCAAACTGCAATACATAGATATATTAATTGTCCAGGTAAATATGAGCCCCCTGCGTACACTTGGTACTATGCTGCCAATATTATTCTTTAAGGCAAAAATGAGCAAAATGATGAATTGAAAAATTCCAAGCATCAATGTGATTGCAGAAGGCACATAAAGAGCCGAACTCTACCAAGACAAGATATGTGCATATAACCATCAGCAATTTCAATACAACACAGAAAAAAAAAAGTATGTATTATTATAAAACAAAAAGGGGGAGATTAGTCACAGCAAGTAGCCATCGCTGGATATCAAAGGTACCCCCCATTATTAAGGTTTCCACACTATTAAGAAAAAAAGGGAAACCAAGAGAAAATTGCTCACAAGGAATAAACAAGAGTATTATACAAACTTGTCAATAAATAATCACTCAGCAAGACAAAGCAGTATCAAACTTACCAAGCACTAAATCCATAGACATGTGCGGATTTTGCACAGACTCGATATTTAAGCATCACCCATGTGGTCAAAAGACCATCTGCACTCTAATTGGCCCTTATATACCTTCCACCCGGCCACCATGTGATGTCATCGGCTGGGTAGGGATGTCCATTGTGTCACTGCGCATGCGCGGATACCGTCGACGCACATGCGCGGACACTGATGACCTTGGATTCCTATACAGTTAGCAAGACTGTAAGCATATGGGGATTCAAATGGAAGTAGCGCCACCAATGGTCGGAAGACCAATGAACCAGATGAAAAATTAAATAACCGAGCAGCATTATGCCATCTAGTGGTAAAATATAAGACCAAAATCAAAACAAGCTCTAATAATGACTGCTAATAACTTATAACTGGTAGCACTCCCACATGATGATGGAAAATAAGGATCCAATAGGTCCAGATCCACTGGCAGTGCACATAAAGGCGCAGCTCCCAGATTATACCAGCAGCTGAGCCATGGGTGTCCGTATAATCACACCCAGGGACGCATGTTCAAAACATGAATAGGAAAAAATGTAAATGGTTATTAGTATAATAGTTATCAAACAAGTGGGGGTAGGGGCGGGGCATCACTCTGGACAATTAAAGAATCCATAAATTATAGAATAAACATCGAACAGTACAAATATTGTTGCTTGACAATACCCATGACAATTATATACATTGAAGCATAACAGAACAGCATTACATGGCTAGAAAGACACAGGGTAAGTCTTACAGGACAGGTCATTTATTATAAAAAAGACCTAAAGCTTAAAGATTCATTTTGGCCTGGATAATGAGTAGCATCTAATTTATATATCCAACGTGTCTCAAGTTATAATAGTTTTTGATCAATAGTTTCTCCTTGTACATGTGGTGGGATATGTTCTAATGCCATGAATCTAATAAGCCCCAATCAAAATTGTGGTAAAGACCCACATGTTGGCTGATGGGAGTTTCCATTTTGTGATTTTTAATTAGGGATACAAGGTCCCTAATACGTTAAAAAAACAGACATTTTGTTTTGCCCACAAAGAAGCAACCGCAAAAGCATTTCATTAAATAGACTATAGCTGACGTTTGGCAAGCAATTCTATGCCCAGTTCTATGGGCTTAAAATTTCAAGTCCTGAGCTACTAGCCAGGCCTTAAGAGTTACTCGCCACCAACAAACACACACATACAGAGACACCTGTACACACACACAAACATGTACATACATACACACACACAGAAACATGTACACACACGCACAGAGACACATGTACACACATACAGACACATGTATACACACACAGGCACGTACAGACATGCATACACACAGATACATGTACTTACACAGAAATACACAATCACAGACACATGTACATACACACAGACACATGTACATACATACACAGACACATGTACACACAGACACATGTACGTACATACACACAAACACACACACACACATGTACATTCACACACACACATGTACATACACACATATACATGCATACACAGACACACACAAACACACACACACACATGTACGCATACACACACACACACACACCCGCAATAAAAAGTTGCAGTACTTCATTGTTCACTCACAGAACCGGGTACTGCACTCTAGGGGGTGGCAGAGAGCACAGCATACACTCCTTCCTTTGCTTTCATTGTGCTCAGCTATTGAGCAGTCTGACGGCTTCCAGTGCCAATGACAGATCCGGCCTGAGCTCTGAGCCTGCTCAGCAAGACGGCCCTGGGGGACACACTCACCCCCACCATAATTTCCACTCGCCATTGGCGAGCAGGCGAGTGGAAATTTCAAGCCCTGCATTAGGCCATGAGGAAGAAGTATTTTATGACTATTGGACATAAGCGGACAAAAATTTAATTTATTACAAGAATAGGTGCCCATTCTTCCAGCTGGAGTAACTTTCACTTTGGTATAATGACTTTGGACCAATCGATCCTTAATCGAGCGCACTCGTTTGCAAGTAATAGTCAGTTTTGAGGATAGAAACTTACTAGCTGTAGAATCAGCCAAAAGAAGTGGCCAGTATTTATTTAATATCCCCTTAATTTGTTGATGTTGTTTAGAATATGTGGTTATTAACTGTACAGTACAATCATCTTCCAGAATTTTGGTCTTATAAATTAATGATTGGCGTTCCTGTTTTCTTGTCTTATTGTAAGCTTTCTTTAAACAGCTATGGCTGTATCCTCTATGTCTTAACCAAGCAAAGATAATGACTGTATGGAATACTTTTTAATAGTGGCTCAGGGTGTGAGATTGATGCGTGCAAAATAGTATTGCTCGCGGATGGCTTCCTATATAAGGAGGAAACCAAGTGAGCCATCTGCTTCTACAAATATCTCAACATCAAGGAATTCTTTCCTGGTGGCATGTCATGGTAAATTTCAAATTATTATTATTACAGCCGAGAATATTTATAAACTGTGCAAGCTCTTCCTAGGTACCTGACCACAACATCAACACATCATCAATATAACGATGCCAAGTGATAATGCGCTCAAGATAATAACTAATATCCTCCTGAGCGAATAAGTCACTCCCCCACAAGTACAGGTTAGCATACGATGGAGAACAATTAGTCCCCATTGCAACTCCCTGCATCTGGAGGCAGTGGGACAGTCCAAACGTAAAAACATTCCGTGTCAAAATAAATCTTAACAGTTGCAGAACAAATGTGTTATATTCATATGCTGTTTGGTCACGTTCTAGTAAGTGGTCTGCTACAACTGATAGCCCTTTTTTCATGGGGAATGGCATTATATAAACTTTCTATGTCAATGGCAACTAGCCAGGTATCTTTGGGCACATACAGTCATGGCCGAAATTGTTGGCACCCTTGATATTTTTCCTGAAAATCAAGTATTTCACACAAAAAAGGTATTGCATTAACACATGTTTTGCTATACACATGTTTATTCCCTTTGTATGTATTGGAACAAATATAAAACAGAGGCAGAAAAGCAAATATGACATAATGTCACACAAAACCCCAAAAATGGGCTGGACAAAAGTATTGGCACCCTTAACTTAATATTTGGTTGCACACCCTTTGGAAAACATAACTGAAATCAGTCGCTTCCTATAACCATCAATAAGCTTCTGACACCTCTCACACCGGAATTTTGGACCACTCTTCCTTTGCAAACAGCTCCAGGTCTCTCTTATTGGAAGGACACCTTTTCCCAACAGCAATTTTAAGATCTCTCCACAGGTGTTCAATGGGATTTAGATCTGGGCTCATTGCTGGCCACTTCAGAACTCTCCAGCGCTTCTTTGCCATCCATTTCTGAGTGCTTTTTGACGTATGTTTGGGGTCATTGTCCTGCTGGAAGACCCAGGATCTTGGACGCAAACCCAGCTTTCTGACACGATCACTGGGCCCTACAGTGCGACCCAAAATCCTTTGGTAATCCTCAGATTTCATGATGCCTTGCACACAGTCAAGGCACCCAGTGCCAGAGGCAGCAAAACAACCCCAAAACATCATTGAACCTCCACCATATTTTACCGTAGGTACTGTGTTTTGTTCTTTGTAGGCCTCATTCCGTTTTCGGTAAACAGTAGAATGATGTGCTTTACCGAAAAGCTCTATCTTGGTCTCATCTGTCCACAAGACGTTTTCCCAGAAGGCTTTTGGCTTACTCAAGTACATTTTGGCAAACTGTAGTCTTGCTTTTTTATGTCTCTGTGTCAGCAGTGGGGTCCTCCTGGGTCTCCTGCCATAGCGTTTCATTTCATTTAAATGTCGACGGATAGTTCGCGCTGACACTGATGCTCCCTGAGCCTGCAGGACAGCTTGAATGTCTTTGGAACATGTTTGGGGCTGCTTATCCACCATCCGGACTATTCTGCGTTGCAATCTTTCATCAATTTTCCTCATCCGTCCACGACCAGGGAGATTAGCTACAGTGCCATGGGTTGCAAACTTCTTGATAATGTTGCGCACTGTGGACAAAGGCAAATCTAGTTCTCTGGAGATGGACTTGTAACCTTGAGATTGTTGATATTTGCCACAATTTTGGTTCTCAGGTCCTCAGACAGTTCTCGTCTCCTCTTTCTGTTGTCCATGCTTAGTGTGGCACAGACAGACACACAATGCAAAGGTTAAGTGAACGTCTCTCCTTTTTATCTGCTTTCAGGTGTGATTTCTATATTGCCCACACCTGTTACTTGCCCCAGGTGAGTTTACAGGAGCATCACATGCTTGTAACATTCTTATTTATCCGCAGTTGTGAAAGGGTGCCAATACTTTTGTCCAGCCCATTTTTGGAGGTTTGTGTGACATTATGTCGAATTTGCTTTCTTTCCTCCCTTTTTTTGTTTTGTCCCAATACACACAAAGGGAATATAACATGTGTATAGCAAAACATGTGTTAATGCAATACGTTTCGTGAGAAATACATGATTTCCTGGAGAAATATCAAGGGTGCCAACAATTTCGGCCATGACTGTATAACCCTTCAATTATATATAAACGGTCAATCATGTCTGCAAAGGGCAACTTGCAGAGGACTGGAAGGAGCAGCTTTCCTAATCCATCTAGAGGCACTGCCCCACAGCTACAGGCTACTGTTATCCTCAGGACCAGTCCACAGAGTTCTGCAGTGTCAGACGTTTTAAAATATATATCTGCTGCCAACAGAACTGTTGTGGTCTGCAGTGCATTAGTTGTGGAAAAAACGACACACCAACCATTTGAGTACATGAGCATTCGAAAACACAAAACAAGACTTTGTGACACAGAGCTTTGTGGGAGCAGCACCTCAATGAGGAAAGTGGGCAGCACTCCTCCTCATCATTCTGTACTTTTCTCCTTCAACCCCCCCCCCCCCCAGAACAACATTCTTCTGCATCTGCTGAAACATTTGTGGCCTCTACTACAAACAGGGGGAGGAGTCTCAGAAGTTACTGTGACCTAGAAAATGCTACATGCAGCAAAGAAGAGGGTCATGGGGCCACGCTAGGGAGGGTCAAACAAAGGATTGAACGTCTGCAAAGTTCTAATATACCCACTCTGCCATCTATAACTTCCCAAGGCAGGTTTCTCTTCCACAGCTGCTGAAGCAGAAGAAAAAAATGTCCCCAAATCATCCCATGCCTAGTGTTTTAATGCCAGCATGGCAAAACTGTTGGCTTATAAGATGCTCCCAATCCAGCTCATGGAGGGGAGCATTCGGCCATCCCATGAGGGGCCAATCAATAAGGGGATCCCCACAAAACCGAAGGGGCAAACGACATGCCAATATCTAACGTGTAGGAAGTACACAATAGTCAGAAACAATATGATGGGGGCCTCCTTGATGGTTAATACCACTACAATTATAAACATTTAACTAACTTCCCTACTGGTTTGAATGCAGTAAAGTCACTAATTCTGGTCAGATAGGACACATACAAATAAGCTAGCAAAGGACCAGTATTATGTATGAGAAAGTCCCTGCAAAGGACACAAAAAATGGGGGGGAGAGAGATGATTACACAATATTCAATTTGTAGGACATATTGGCCCCATTAGCCCCCCCCACTACTGGAATGCCAAATAAAGAGACAACAAGTTGCAAAAACAGTACAAAGGGAGGGAAAGGGGTATATATCAAGCCTTACTTGCATACAATAAATCAGAGACCCTAGGTGAGCTCCTAATGGTGGCAGTATAATAATACTCTTTTTGGGATAGCCTTGTGATTTGGAATATGGCTCTTACGAACAGCATATGTTCCCCAGCCAATCACGTATCAATCTGTATAAAGACATGTATAAAGTATGTAACCCCATAGGTACATCCTAATAGTTAGCGTTAAATCCCCATGTTCACCATAGCAAATAGCTGTTCCACTGTAACTGTTTTCAGATGCAGAAGTGCAGAATTTCCTAGAAATGTGTAGCGCCACCGCCATAGCCTCAAGGGCCGCCACCCGCCCTCCCAATTTAAGCGATCCCAACACAGAATGGCAGCACCATCAGAAGGCGGTGCATGACGTCACTGTGCCCGGACATGTACAGCCGGGCATGTGCACCGCAAACACGCACTAACCCACTATATGAATGACGGGGGGAGCGCATAACGGTGACACCAGTGGGCATCATGGACCATCACCGCAGGGAGCAGCAATGCTCATGGAACACCGTGGCCTGGCCCCCGCCCAGCACAGCGGGGACCTTAGTCGCGGCACCCACCAGCCGCTCATTGATTACAGGGTTAACTAAACAGGGACATGGAACCTTCCCATATTTTCCCAATTGAGAAACCATCACCCTCACATAGGTGCATGTAATAACAATCAACGACGGCAATATTAGCAACCATCACAAAAAGTGTTCCAGAATCATTACAATGGCAACAGTTAAATACACTGATACTGGCTCAATTGTGCAACACCCTCATACATCAGGAAGTGAGGAGATACATAATAACACACGTATGACTATGTCAATAACAGTGATTGAATAGTATTGTAATATTCAAATGCCTAAACCACAGTGGGCGTAGATTACAAAAATGGTTTATAGGACAGAGTTTCATTAATACCCAGCAGGCATGTAACATTTAATCGTTCAATCCAAAACACTTCTTTTTGCAATATGCGTCTATCCCAATTGCCACCTCTAGGGTTTTTTGAGATTACTTCTAATACCAAAAATGAAACCATAATGGTGTCAAATCTGTGGTATAAATCTAAGTGTCTACTAACTGGAGTGACCATTTTACCATTTGCAGAATAGTATATATGATCATTTATTCTAGACCGTAACTTCCTAATGCTTTTGCCCACATAGAAGGCCCCACATTTTCAGGTCATAAGAT